TATATATATATATATATATATATATATATATATATATATATATATATATATATATATATATATATATATATATATATATATATATATATATATATATATATATATATATATATATATATATATATATATATATATATATATATATACATATATATATATATATATATATATATATATATATATATATATATATATATGTATGTATATATATATATATATATATATATATATATATATATATATATATATATATATATATATATATATATATATATATATATATATATATATATCGTCCGAGTAGGTGTCACGTGGGGGGGTGTCATTACAACTTTTGCCGACAAAAAAAAATAAAAAAGGCCTCGTTTTTTAAAATTTGCTGACTGCCATAACGATATTTTTCCGACTGACTTTTTAAATTTACCGACTAACATGTCGAAAAAGTGTAAAACTTGCCGACTAAATGAACGAAAAAATCATTGATTGACACCCTTTTATCCCCATCGCGCCGGCCTTGGGCCTGTCTTTACATATGTTAAGCCTAGGCAGTTGCCTAGGTATATATATATATATATATATATATATATATATATATATATATATATATATATATATATATATATATATATATATATATATATATATATATATATACAGTATCGGATAAAACAAGTGCAACCAAATAATGCTAATTTAGTTTCTTTATATAAAAGTGCTGCATTTTTTCCATTCAAAGAAATAATTATGTAACTTTTTAGAGACAACGTTCTTCAAGTTTTATTCATCACAAACTTCATTATTTGTACACAAAAATTAATAAATTAATCAAAAGTATTAAATAAAGTTCCTTCTGGACAAAACAAGTGCAACAAAATGTTGACCAAGCTGTATTTTGCTATCAATATTTCGTTGCAAATCCTTTGTTGTCGATCACAGCCTTGCATCTTCGAGGCATAGATTCGATCAGGTGATCAATGAAACTTTGTGGAATTGCTGCCAAGAGATTTAGCAAACAGGATTCTTTTCTTCTGGTTCTTTAGTGAAATCAGCGGTTTCTTTGCAGAGCGTCGAGAAAACAGTCCGGCTTCAACAGCACGTCGTCTGAGTGTTCGGTGGAATACAGGCAGCTCTAATTACTTTTGTACTTTGACTGACAATATCCAGGGATCCTTCTTGACGGATCTGACGATCATAGAATCCTCTCTAGAAATGGTTGATATATATATATATATATATATATATATATATATATATATATATATATATATATATATATATATATATATATTTCTGTTTTTTTTTTATTTTACAAACTTCAGTTTTACACTTTTAAACTTTAAACAGAATATATATCAGCTGGGGACGGCCGATTTAACCTGACGCACAAATACGGAAAGGTTCAACAAAGTAAGCAAAATGCTTCAAGTAGTTGAAGTTGAATAGACAATGGAATGAGCTGTATCGCTCTCTGTCTGTTTTTGTTCAAGAGGCATAATAAAGTTTAGTCAAATTTGGAAAGAATTTATGTTATTAGTGGGCACCAACAAATATTCTGCTGCTATGACAAATCGATCTGATGTCTATCAAGGTATCAGACTTTACTGTTGGAGAAATATCGATTGTTTAGGTTAACCTTATCATCAATTGACTTTTATTTAATCTTGAAAGACAAAGACAAGTTTATACTTTACTTCTCTCTAGTTTTGGATTCTTTGTTCGTTTTCTAGATATGGGTTCTGTCACACTCATATGGATTTACTTCTGGTTATTTGAACAATAAAAAACTCAATCAACTACATAATGTTAATCTTATTCTGAGGATATTTCTCACTGCTGTTGTTACAAATTGTACTGGAAAATTTTTTTTTCAAACTTCAAAAAGAGAGAAAAATTGCTACAGGTCTAATAGCGGACAAAAAAAGCTTATCGGCTCTTCTAAGCATGAAAAAAAAAGCGCTGAAAACAGACTTGTTTTTGGTAGAGGAGGGGGTATGCATATATATATATATATATATATATATATATATATATATAACACGGTAAATATAAGTCTAGTTGAGAATAATATCAAAAATATTTTATCAATTTGATGCTCCTCACGTTTGGAGTGGAGGGGAGGGGGGGATTAAGTTAAAGGACTTTTTGTTCTCAACCTCTAACCATTGCAATTATTTGTAAAGCACCATTATTTGACATAAGTATAAACATACAAATGTTTGGAGTTTGTTTTATGTCTGGAAGTCATCTCAAACACCTGGATCCGTCACTGGTATATATGTATCTGTTACATTAGTGTACGCGATTATAATGTATAAAATATGCGTAATTGTGTGCCTTTATGTGTGTATTTGTATGCGTATGTACGTAAAATACTTCGTAACATTAATTCGTAAGCGATTATTGCAACTATTATTTATGTATTATTAAATAGTTTTTTTTTTTTATATTTTTTTTTTACACGTTTTGGTATAACAAAAGAAAAAATTTTTTGCAGGTTTCTAAATAAAGGAAATATGACTTTTAGCATATATCTAATTTAAGTGTTTCACGTTTTTTATTTTATTAGAATAAAATAGAAAGTATGCTGAACAGACAGGGCCAGAGTAATCAACTGTCCCTAAGCATATTGGCTAATAGAAATTGCATAGAGATGGGCAGGCAATTTTAAGTGTAAGGGTTGACTTACAAGCCCTTCCCATTTCCAGCTAAGGGTTCTGGGGGTCTTGGAATCCTAATATCATGATCAAGTATACCTTATAATAAGAAGGCGATTCTACGAATAAAATGAGAGAGGGGTGAATTCTTAAAAAGTACCGACTAGTCCTCAAAACGAAAGTTTAACCGACTGAATTGCGTCAAATTGCCGACCAGCCAACTAAATTAGTAAAAAAACTACTATAACTTCAAAATCACCTTCTTTGGAGGGGTGGGTGGGTGGGGTTGTGTAACATCCCCCCCCCCCACACACACACACACTCACACATCTGTAAAATTGCCTCTGCTTATTATATACATAAGTTTATCTTATACTCAATTGTATAATTTAGTTCACTCTTGAAATCATTTAAAACATATCAAAATTTTCAATTTTCTTTTAAAAATCTTTACATCACTCGTTTTAATATAGAGACCTCTAATGGATTCCGACTGTATGTAGAGATAAAAATAAGTTTTAAAGCTGCATTTGCAGATACTGCTACTTAAACTATTTTTATAACGTAGCATTTACTGCATACTTATATTGTAGCATTTCATTAAAAAATCTTTAATTTAACCTTTAAATTTAATATCTCTCATTATATTTGAAACTATGGTAAAAAGAGCTAAAGAACCAAGCCTCTCTTAACCATTGAAGCTTGGTTGGGTCTTTTCAAATGCTTTAGGCTTGAATTAATTGTTAAACAGATTGTTTAGAGAAGTACATATCGCAGGTACATATGAAACTGGTCCAACTCAGCTTTAAAACTGTTGTATAGATCCTTTGGATTAAATTCAATTAACTTTTTGGCGCGTTCAACTTAAAAATAATGAGAAGTCGGAATTTGATCTGGATCTGGACCTATTTTAACTATAAATGAAAATCTCTTGGTGATATTGCCGACTAATTCTCTGCCTAGGCGCATTCGATTTTTGAGTTTATCAATGAAAAAAATATATATATAAAAAACGTATTTATTGTGTATATATTGTAACTAACATGTATAAAAAGATAACTGACACATCAAAACGGTCAACTGCACTACGACCAACTAGGTTCAAAAGAGTGGGCCGCATAAGGGACATAGATATCGAATTTGTTTTTTTCCATAATCTTGCATTCCTTTGTTACGCCCCGACATATTAATACAATTGAAATGTCCAATTAGTATAGTTTATACGAATATAGTATTTTTAACAAACTTTTATCTTGTTTTACTTAGTTTAACAAGAATTTCTACACAGTTTTTTATAATTAAGTAAAAATTAATGTAATCGCCTTGTTTTTGATAATTATCATTTCTATAACAGCATTATTGAGCATTTTTTTCAGAAAGAATGATCACTGATGTTAAAGGTAAAAATGAATATAGTGCAAATAAATATAATCACAGTTATAAGCAAAGAATGAAGCTCCTAAAATATCATTGTCAATGCAAAACCAACAGATTGAAAA